GAGCAATGAGTATGCCAATGTCATGTTACAGTACTCCTTAGATGTCATGGAATAATGGGTATACCAATGGTATCTTATCGTACTTCCTAGTGGTCACTGAACAATGGGTATACCAGTGGTACCTTATCATACTACCTAGCAGTCACCGAACAATGGATTTACCAATGGTATCTTATAGCACTCCCTAGCGGTCCCCGGACACTGGGTATACTAATGGTATGTTGCAATACTCCTTAATAGTCATCTTGCAGAGATCACCTTTAAGCAGGTAGGTGAGTGGATCCTAACTTTGGCTGACTGAGTGCATAATCCAATATATATTTCTATAAAATGTATAAATTGTCTGATACAACGGGTTTTTAACAATAGATTTCATATTCCATATTCCACAGTAAGAGGTCAAAGTACAAAACACAAAGCAGACAAGAGATTAAAATTTTTTTGAATTCTAGAACAGAGCACCAATCCTTGAATAGAACAATATAGCTTTCTTTTATGTATCACATAGCTTCCCTGGTATCTTGACTGCTGACCCAACCAGTCCCCCAACCAATAAACCCGTTGCCCCCCAAATAATACACGTGACACTTTCTTCTTGTGGATAAGGGCAACGGCCACAGCTTTATTTAACATAATAATTTTTAACTTAGTCCAACTCTGCCAGCTGTTGGGTGTTTCCCAACAGGCAGTTCTCCCAACTTCTATACCATGAGCCTCGACAGCCGGCTCCTCGCCATCAGCTCCGTGCAGGCTGTCGTCTCCCCAAAGCTCCTTTTTTCTTCTGCGCTGTCCAGGGAAACCCGCCAAGCTGTGACAACACAAAACAAGAAAACAAGACACAAGCCACAACACCAGAAACAGGGTGGGAGGGTGGGAAAACAGCCAAGATCCCTCAATGAACCTGCTGACTGGTAAGTCCCCTCCCTCTCCCTTTCCTTAAGAACCACAAATGTATCAATCTTAACCCAGCCCCCAATCTTGGGCAGCAGTCATGCTCCTCCTTCCTTATTCTTCCAGGGGGAAACTTGACTGCTGACCCAACCAGTCCCCCAACCAATAAACCCGTTGCCCCCCAAATAATACACGTGACACTTTCTTCTTGTGGATAAGGGCAACGGCCACAGCTTTATTTAACATAATAATTTTTAACTTAGTCCAACTCTGCCAGCTGTTGGGTGTTTCCCAACAGGCAGTTCTCCCAACTTCTATACCATGAGCCTCGACAGCCGGCTCCTCGCCATCAGCTCCGTGCAGGCTGTCGTCTCCCCAAAGCTCCTTTTTTCTTCTGCGCTGTCCAGGGAAACCCGCCACCGCGATGCCCACCTCGCGCACTACGCTGCGCGGGCATCGCGCCCCCCGCCGACAGCGCCGCCTCAATTCCTGTTTGTAATCCCATATTGAAAATATCTAACCCAATGGGGGACAAATGAACACCATCCCGTCTCATGACATCATCATTAACCCCTTCCAACTCAAAGTGCCTCACAACTACACCCCCCAGTTGGCGTACAAACCGAGACATGGTCATGTTAACCTTACGCCTATATCGCTCCAAAGCCTTACCATGACCCCCGGACCGCCACACCGGGCGTGGAACGATCTCGGACCAGACGAGGGTCAGGTCCCGGAACAACGCAAAACAGCGGGCCACGTCATGCCGCATTGCACGAACTAGGTCCACCGACCGTCGCCGTCCGACATCGTTCCCTCCCACGTGAATTACTAAGGTCACCGGCCCTGACACACAGCACCGGAGCTGAACCAGCTCGGTGTACAACCCATCCCAGGACAATGCCCGAATCCCCCTCCAACGTACCCGTGCTACCTCGTACGATAAACCGAGGTTACGGCCATAGGGTCTAGCCTCCGCACGCCTAGCAGCCCAATAAACAAATGAGTGTCCCACGATCCAGACAAATCGAGGAGCAGGACCTATAATAAAAATAACAGACAACCATCACCGTAACAATGCTAGCCTACAGCAAATGGGGGCGCACGTAGAGCTGGTACCGGCCCGACTGCCAGCGCCCCAAACGCTTGACCGCCTCCGTGGGAAGGCCCAGCTGACTAGCCTGCGTGGCAGCTCCGATTCGAAATGAGTGCGTGGTGTACAAACCCGGAGACAACCCAAGACTAACCACCCCTGCCCGGAGAACCCTGGCGAACTGAAACCGGCTGAGCGCTGACCCATCCCGATGCCGCAACAGGGATCCTGCCTCCGATCCTCGCACCGCCAAGAAATCCCGCAGCAACTTAACCGGGCAAAACTGCTCACCAGTAGCCATAATCCGAACCGATGCGCCCACACCTACCTGATCTGTCTTAGATTTACGAATGATCAACTCCATGTCACCCGTCGAGACTGTGACATCAGCAAGTTGCATGGCAGCTGGCCCCCTGCGTACTCGGTGCCACCAGCTCGCCTATCCGAAGTGCCGCAAAAAAGCAGACAGCAAACGCGGCCCGAAACAGGAGAACCTCGTAGCCCGAAACACAAATCTGGGGCAGACACTCCAGGAGTCTGCACAAGATCTCATAGGAGATGGGATGCCGAGCGTCCCGCCTACGACCCTTCTTCCAGCCCTTCATGATCCGCGAAATGCAGAATGACTTGGTCGCATCCTGCCACCCACACCACTGGAACAGAAAAGACAGGGCCGCTAACGCCCTCTCTGCTGCCGCTACCGACTTACCCTTCTCGCAGAGTGACTCCAAAAAGGCCAGAGTCGCTCCCAGCCTACCTTCGTCCGTAGACGCCTCCCTGTCCTTGCAGACACCTGTCCACTGCCGCCAGACCGCAGAATACGACTTCCACGTCGACTCCGCCAGCGACTCTCTCGCCAACCGGCTCAAATGGTGGAAACCAGGTCCCATATATCCTCCGGGCACGAGGTGCCAGCCTGCTCTGTCTCTGGAGCTGCCGCCCGAAACCTGTCCCACTGAAACCGAGAGAGAGAGTCGGCTATAACGTTCCGCTCCCCAGGCACATGGCGCGCAACCAACCACAAATTATGTGCTAAGCTAAGCAGGACCAAGCGCCGGAGGAGCGTCAAAACCGGAGGCGACGCAGACGTAGATCGGTTGATCACATGGACCACACTCATGTTGTCCGTGTGCACCACTACCTTCCGATTCGACAGCTCCACACCCCAGAGCTCCACAGCCACCACAATGGGAAAGAGCTCCAGAAACGTCAAGTTACTCACCAATTCCGTCTCTCGCCAGTGTCGGGGCCAGGCCTCCGCGCACCACCGCCCCTGAAAGTAGGCACCGAAACCCACAGACCCAGACGCGTCCGTGTATAATTCTAAATCCGTATTGGACACCGCCGGGCGCAGCCAGCAGGATTGCCCGTTGTACATACCCAGAAACGAACTCCAAACTTGCAGATCCTCTCGATGCCGGTGATTGATTCGAATGAAGTGAAATGGCTGCCTGACTCCGACCGTTGCCAAGGACAAACGACGGCAAAAAGCCCTGCCCATCGGCAATACCCGACAGGCAAAGTTCAGATGCCCTAACAGGGCCTGCAACTGCCGAAGCTGCACTTTTTTTGGCCCCTTTAGCCGAATCCACCAGCCGCAGCAGGTGAGTCAGCTTGTCGTCCGGCAAGCGGAAAACCATGCTCCACGTGTCCACTTCAATCCCTAAGTAGGACAGGACTCCCACCGGACCCACCGTCTTCTCAGCTGCTATCGGCACACCAAAATCCGCAGCGACGGCCCGAAAGGAATCCAAGAGCCCCACGCAGTCATCCGACTCCCGCGGGCCCACAAACAAAAATCGTCAAGGTAATGAGTTAGGGAATCTATCCCCGCAACCCGAGCGACCACCCATTCCAAAAACGATGCAAACTTTTCAAAGTAAGAACAAGATATAACGCAGCCCATAGGCAAACACATATCAAAGAAAAAGGAACCTTGAAACCGACAACCCAACAGGTGAAAACAGTCCGGGTGGACCGGGAGCAGGCGAAAAGCCGACTCGATGTCCGACTTCGCCAACCGAGCTCCCTTCCCTGCCTCCCGGACCAACTCTAACGCCCGATCAAACGAGGCGTAACGAACATGTGATTCTTCCTTGTCAATGTCATCATTCACCGACCCACCCGAGGGATAGGACAAGTGGTGAATGAGACGGAAGGATCCAGGCTCTTTCTTAGGAACTAACCCCAGCGGGGATACCCGCAAATTGGGAATTGGGAAATGGAGGCGAGTCAAACGGACCCGCCATCCTGCCCAAACAAACTTCCTTCCTCAACTTATCCTCTAAGATAGACTCTTTACCCACCACCGAACGCAGGTTATCTGCCAGGGAAGGGGAATCCGAACGAACAAACGGAATCCAAAACCCTGTCGAAAACCCCTCTAGCAGAACCCCTGCATCCTTACGCTTGGGATACCGGTCGAGCCAAGGGCGCATCCTTAGCACGCTCACCGGAGTCCTCCCCTCTAGGGAGATCCTCCCTATTGGATCTTCCACCATGCTTGCCCTTCTTGAAACAGCGCAGCGCAGGGTGGGCTCCTCCACAATGAGAGCACTCGTGCTTGAAACGGCATGATCCAAACCACTTGCAGTGACTCTCATTGTAGAGCCAGCAGACCCCCCTGCGCTGCCCAGCCGGCGCACTGGACGGCACGCCGGCTGCTCCTGGAAAGGGGGATGGACGACTAGGGGTCATCAGCAAGAGCCAAAGGCTCCCGTCCTGGACCCCAAAATCCATACCCGAACACACCGCCATCTTCTGGCGAAATTGTTGGTCATACCGAAACCAACATTGTCCCCCATAAACCTTGTATCTAGATACCCAAACAACGCTGGTGCCTTCTCCGGGAAGGCCCGCGTCATCACACTTGCAAAAATGGAGAACCCTTGCAGCCAGTTCCCAAACGTACGCGGCAGATGCTTACCTCTGTCGCCGTCCACCGAATCTCCCCGCTGCGGCCTATCCACCGACTCCCGGTCCGGAGGGACCAGGGACAGTAAATCTACGTATTCACCTTTAACAATCCTCTCTTTCACCTCCAAAGCCACGTGCATCCCAAGTGGGGACAGCTCGCAACCTGGCAAGCACTGCGCCCTACCTGACCGAATACACTGACCTTTATCCTGAGCATGGGCCTGCGCAGGGAGAGAAACTGGGACAGACAAAGGGCCCCCCCCTGGGAGTCTATCTAACACGGCCTTCAGCAACCCCAGAACCTCCCCATTAAACCCACTATCTACCCTATCCCCAGCTAGCGCATGCCAAGCGCTAGCGCAACACTTACCGCTGGCTGGCTGAGGATGCTGGGTCTCACCATCATCAGAACCGGAACTGGACCCCGATCCCAGGGGTGATTCACGGCCGGCCTCCTGGCCCGACCGCAATCTTCCTTCCAGGGTGCTGCTGCTGCCACTCCTGTGGCCTCTCCGGCTTCCGGTGGCCCTCCTGGGCTCTTCTCGCGTGGTTTCCGGCTCACTTCCTGCCGGAACCACGCTGGAACGCAAGGCCTGTGACGTCCGTGCTCTCCTGCGCGGTGACGTCACGTACGCGCCTTGCGTGATGACGATCCTTCCGGCCGCGTCCGCGTCACGCACCGAGCGTGCTGATGCGACTTCCGGGCCGGCCGGAAGAGAAGAGCGCGGAGAGCGCGATCTTCCCGCCCTTTCGGCAACCTGGCTTCCGCCGCCATCTTGGACCTGGACACAACCACCGGCCTCACCGGAACGGATCCTCCTCCTCCCAGGTACCGGACTCCGGAGCGGTCGCACGGCCGAGCCGCCACTTCTTCCCCTCCTCTGACGCCGAACTGGACTGGGAGAAAGACGCGACGGAGGCCTCGATCTCCTGGCCCTCCGTCCGTCTCGGCATGCAGACTGACCGGCCCTTACATCCTGGGGGACATTCTTCACGCCCGACACCAGCTCCTCCAGGGCCCCCTGTCCATGGGTCTCCAGGTAAGACTGCAGAAGTCTCTGCAAAGCAGCTCCAGTGTCAGCCATAATTGCTGCAAGTGGACCGTCAGTAGCAGTAGAATGCGCTGTTTAGGTGATAATCAAAAAAAAAATTTTTTATTTTTTTTTTAATTCTAACTGTTTGTCTTGAATTACAGGGCCAGTCAGGTAAGAAAACAGCCAAGATCCCTCAATGAACCTGCTGACTGGTAAGTCCCCTCCCTCTCCCTTTCCTTAAGAACCACAAATGTATCAATCTTAACCCAGCCCCCAATCTTGGGCAGCAGTCATGCTCCCCCTTCCTTATTCTTCCAGGGGGAAACTCTAAATGTAGATTACCCTTAAAGATTATAATTTGAAGTCCAAGCTAAAAATAAAGGTGGTCATACTTTGCCCCTATCCTTGTATGACCAACTGTTAAAAAAAAATCTTTTGTTATCACTAGACGTGTTTCATTGGGTAATTGCAATACATCCAAATTTAAGGTGGTTAATGAAACGTATGAATTCAGCAACTCTGAATCGTCATTTAACGGAATCATGAAATAAATTATACACTGGATGAGCAGTTTTAATTTTTTTTATTTTTATTTGTTGTTCCGTCCATTGTTCCAAAAAAAAGATGATTGATGGATTTGGGACAGTCACTAAATGTTGATTTTAACAGAAAAAACACAAAAAGTGGATGTGGACAAGAGTAAAGGCGCTTAGTATATTATTTAGTGTAAATTATAAGATATAGCTGCTATGTGCACTTTTATTGAATACTCCAAAAGACACTATAATTATAGAAACATACAGATAACAAAATACCAAGTAGTGATCAGAGTGCAAAAGACTTCAAACACAGCTTGATGTAAGTGCAGCGCTAAATAGTGATATCAAATTTATTATAGTACACTTACCCCTTACAGTATATATGGGGTATACATGTAAAAATAAACAAGAAAATATATATAGAGAGTAGTATTGTCTGATATAATGGAAGGTATATCAAATAAATAAGAAAAATAATACTCACATTTGAAAGAGCCTTTTATAGGGGTATAGGCTCTAAACACAACAGCGTCTTTGCCTTTAAAGGTAGGCAATAATACCTTGAAGTAGGGGGCGTTCTTCCTTTCTTTCCGTCGGTAGGTTATATCTCCAAATAAAGCATAGAAAGAGATTCCTTGGTGTAGATTGTTTTGAGCAGATAGTAGAAATTAAATATATAAGCTCAAATGCTCACCTTATTTAGAGCCTTTTCGAAACTGGCTCCAAGTATTGTAGGCATGGGTGTCAGTAAGGAGATGACACTTCCCTCTTATGGATACCACAAATATGGAGAGGAGATGAAGTATGGATAACTAGCAATATAATTTATTTAAACACAAAATAAAATAAAATACATAAATAAAATACACATATGTATTATAAAAGATCCTCTCACTCCTCTATTCAGAAACGCGTTGAAAATGAGAAGCAGTAAAAATAAAAAATAAAAAAATAATATATATGTTTACGATGCAGCAATGTTCTGAAAAAATGTCATACATTTAGTTTACATTCACTCCATATGAGAGATATTTTAGTGGAGTCAACACGTAAACTTCCCACACTACTAAAACGAGAGAATTACATGCACCAAATATTAAATATATTTTGTACCAGTTATTTTAAAGAACTTTTGATCTGCGAGTGTGGGGGGCTGGTGTGTTTGTTTTTTTAACAAAGAGCCATTTTGCTTTTTATTTGTGTTCTATATTTACCACCTGACAGCTGTATAACGGCCAATTTTACACAAGCTGGTGGTCTGCCTCATTTTCCATGGGTGTTAAATTTACACTAAATTACAATAACATGTATGACTGAAGGGAAAAAAGACCTGGTCAGATGACCAGGAGTTCGAACCCCACAGGGGAAGATTTATGTTTTTTTTCACAAACTTTTTTCTGAGTTTTCAACAAGGACAGGATCCCTCAGAAATGTATTTACATTTATTGGTGTCAATCTGGTATTTGACTACTCGATAAATGTTGCCACCCAAGATGTTTTACACACAAACGATTTTACTGTATGCAAAGCAGTCTAAAATTATTATTAATAGTGCAAAATGAAGAATTATAGTGGAATGTTCTATTTTAACCCTACAATGTGTAGAATGTCTAGATAAAAAGAGACTGAGGGACCCACAGAGAAAGGAAGTGATCTGTGTGTCTATTGCTTTCACAAATCAATAGAACTGGGGGTTTTATCAGCTTGGAGTGAGTTCTGGGTGAGATACCAACAGTTTACTGATATGTACTGTTTTAATCCACTATGTGTGTATTTATTAAAGATTGACCTGTATAAATGTGTCTTTTTCCTTCTGCTTCTGTTTGCATACACTGATCAGCCACAACATTAAAACCACTTAAGTAATATTTGATAGATTTCCCTTGTGCTGCCCATGCAGCTCTGTTGCATCGAGGTATGGACCTCACAAGACACTTGAGTGGTATCTGGCACCAAGACATTAGCAACAAATTCTTTAAGTCCAGCAAGTTGTGAGGTGGGGCCTCCATGGATCGGATTTTTTGTTCCAGCACATTCCACAGATGATCCATTGGATTGAGATTTAGAAAATTTGGAGGTAAAGCCAACACCTTGAACTCTTTGTCATGTTCCTCAAACCATTCCTGAACATTTTTTTACAGTGTGACATAGTGTATTATCCTGCTGAAAGATGCCACTGACATCAAGGAACACCTTTGCCATTAAGTAATGTACACGATCTGCATCAATCTCTAGGTAAGTGGTACGTGTCAAAGTAACATCCACATGAATGCTTCTGCTGCAGCTCCCACGCATATAGGGACATCTTCCTCCTTGACATAGCATTCAGATGAGGATTGGTGGGAGGGAGACCAAGTATGTGTGTGGGCCGTGGCACCATCTTGGCTTAGGCCCCATGCTCAAGTTTTTTTAACTCCTGCAGTGACATTCCGTGTATAAGATGACCCCCAATTTTAGACGAAAAATGTTTAGAAAAAAAACAGTCTTATACATGGAAAAATACGGTATATGTATAAAAAAATTAGGAAAATGTATCTTTAGTATATGACAGGATCCTTGTTCCATAAATATGTACCTTGGGTCAGACAGTGTTTGAAAACTAACAGTTAGTCTCTATGGTCTTTCCTGCTTCACTCTCTGTACAGTTTGCTTTTTGACTCATGGATTGTGGGTACATGAGCTTAGCAACTATAACTTTGCATATACTCCACCCTTTGACAAAATTTGTCAAGAAAACATGCTCTCCACAAGAAAAAGGAGTCTCGTTTTATGTGTAATTTCTAAAGAAATAAAAACAAGGAGAAATAGAGGGACAAAAAAGGATTAATTTAAAAACAAAGCATGCACCCAGGACCTCTATAGGCACCCAGACCACTTCAGCTCAATGAAGTGGTCTGGGTGCCAGGCCCCTCTAGTTTTAACCCTGAAGCTGTAAACATAGCAGTTTCAGAGAAACTGCTATGCTTCACTGAGAGTTAATCCAGCCTCTAGTGGCGGTCTCACTGACAGCCGCTAGAGGCGCTTCTGCAATACTCACTGTGAAAATCACAGTGAGAAGACGCTGGACGTCCATAGAAAAGCATTGAGTAATGCTTTCCTATGGGTGGATTGAATGCACGCGCGGCTCTTGCCGTGCATGCGCAGTCTGAGCTGACGTCGCCAGAGGGAGGAGAGGTCACCTGGCGCTGGAAAAGGTAAGTGGCTGAAGGAGTTTTAACCCCTTCAGCCCAGCGGAAGGGGGGACTTAGGGTGGGGGAACCTAATGACCCTATAGTGCCAGGAAAACAAGTTTGTTTTCCTGCCACTATAGTGGTCCTTTAACTATGGTAAGTAAATAGCACTTCTCCTCTTATTTCAGCGATATGCTTATATAGCTAAACGCATGTAGTTTATCCTATAAAGATACATCCTAGCTTTTCATAGTGTTACGATGAGGACTTACTCTTAAACAACTAGGGCCAGTCTCTCAATGAGGCTATATCTTGACTGTGGTTGAAAAGAAGAAATCCCTGTAAATTGTAGGGTGTTCCATCTGCTCTAGAAAGTACTGTATACATTTAAAAAAAATTCTAGAACACTATGTTTATAAGTTTACGGAAGTCAGATTGCGTTCTACTCTATCACTGAAATGTGATGTTGCCTATCTCAGTTAGCTGGGAAGGTATAGGCGTTATGACCCAACACCTAGCCTCCAGCTCACGTAGTCTATACGTTCTTTTTGCACCCATTAATCTGTTTCTCTCATGCATTATTTCCTGTGGTAGCATTAGCAAGCCACATGCTGATCCTCTGTTACTTCATGGATTTGTAAACTAATCCTCTGGCCCAAGATGATGTAAAACATTAAATATTGTTTTAAGTATCGTAGGCGCCATTCTGCCTGCATGGTCTTCAAAATGGGATAGATGCCAGTAGGTTTGCTGGCACAGGGCTGAGAAATTGAGCGTGTCCGTTCCCTGCGAACAAAGGAAAAACTCTGGACAATAAGAGGTTTA